CTGTATCAATGAATGGGATAAGAAAACAGGATGGACATTTATGCATTTGCCTATCCAAAAATATTAAATATTTACCATATATTTCTGTTCACTTATACCAAGCTATGCTTCACTACCTCCTTATATGTACTTATCAATGTGGGAAGATTAATATGGATAAAGGATCCAGCATACCCAGTAAAGAACATATATACAATAAATAAAAAGGTTGAGTCCACTGCCAATATGACTCATTGTCTTATCTCTTAAGAACATTGTGGGGATATTTTGAAGTGACATTGTTCACTATTCTCTCTGAAATGCACAAATAAATGAAGGTAAAAAGTAGAAAGCGAAACTGAGTAAATGGTGCTCATTTTCAAATAATCAATGACCACATATCAATATCAAAGATTGTTTTCAATGTGGCCGGATGAAAGGGTCAATGGGAAAATGAAACCATATAATGTCATACTGTTGCATGTCCTTTGACTAAAATAGCTCCAAGTGCTGGTTGTCAAAACTACATTTTTACTCATGTCAGAGTGAAAAAGTGAAAAAAAACTGGAGAAGTCCAGCGCAAAATATTGTAGAATGAAGACTGTCAGCTCTTGCCACAGGACTACACTGGAATCTCAAACTGGCCTCAAACCACACCAGTAGATAATGAGGCAAACGAGTCGTAAAAGTGTTCTACATAATAATATGTAATAAGAAAGAGGGAGGGAAGAGGAAGGAGGAGAACAAGAATGTTTTTGTCTGGTTTATATAGTACCTTCAACTGAATGTGTGGCTGGTTTGCCATTTTATGGCATCTTAAATTGGGGCATATATAGTACTCATCAAATATTCTGCATTTAACATGGTAATTGGAGCATAAGTGTAACATGTAGACAGGGCCTCAGTCATTTGAACAAACATTCCACTAACAAGTGGCAGCTGCTAAGGTGATAATTTAAGAGCTCCTTTGTAGAAGGAGCTTGTCTCATGTAAGGCTTCAGTCATGGAAGGAGTGGGTAAGCAAAATCACCCAGAAGCAGAAAGGGGAAGTTGACTCCTTTTGGGTGCAGACAGAAGTAACAATTTTTGCCCAATCTGGCCACAGAAAGCAGTCTACAGCCATGACCAAACACAAGTGCAAGGCTGAAGACTGCTTCAAAAATGGCTGATAAGGTGAAAATCTGAACCCTCATTGCATGAGGGATCAGATGAAGGTGTTTCAAATCAGTGTCTTCTGTAACTTCTGTCTGCACCGTCTCCCAACCTCAAGCCATTTTCAGAATGGGAGGGGCGAAAGGAACAGAGGGAGTTTGGTCTGGGGTTTTTTTTTCAGCTCCCACAGGAGGGTGGAGCAAGTGGATTTGAGCCCCCCATGGTGGGGGGGCTCCAATTCACCCACCCCACCCTCCAGCACAGGCTGGGGAACCCCTAGAACAGGGGTGGGCAAAATACAGCCTGCGGAGGGCCTTTGTCCAGGCCGCAGTGGGCCCTTTAGTCCCCCCCTAGCTTAGATGCCATCGGACTGATAGTGTGTCCTGCCACCCCCTGGGCCTGAAGCAGGGCTGGGGCAGCTCTGCAGCCGGACTGCCTTTCTAGGAAACCTGGGTGGCGGCAGTGGCTCCCTCCTGCTGCTGCTGCTGTCCCCAGCCTGGTGTTACTGGCCCAGACCTGCTTGCACACACCTGACCCTGGCCCATCCTGCACCCACTCTGGACTCAGCCCGGTAGAACAGACCAGCTGTAAACCAGCTGAAACCCATGAGCAAAGTCCCAACCTGGCCCACCTCACGCCTGCTGCAGACTCATCTGCCCATGCCTAGCAGTGGCAGTGGTGGTAACACCTGGGCAGAAACTGCTCCTTGGCATGGGAGAAAAACAGCACTTCCCCTTTGCTGCTGCTGGACCCTTCTGAGCCCCAGGCTACCACGCAACTTCTCTGCACTGCCACTGCTGCCATGCTGGTGGTGACAGCAGGAGAGAGAAAAGCCGCAGGGCAGCCCAGGCATAGGTTCTGGGTTGCTGCAGCAAGTGAAAGGGAGGAACCACTTTTCCCCTGTGCTGAGCAGCAGCTTCTGTCCAGCTGCTGCCGCTGCTCATTGTGGGCATGTGGTCAGAGTAGGCACAGGGTGGACCAGGGTTGGGGCTGTGCGCACAGGTCCCAGCTGGTTCACTCTGGCCAGGGTGAGTCTGGAGCAGGTGTGGGATGGGCTGGGGTTGGGGCTGGGGCTATGCACTGTTGGTGGTAAGGAGCCTCAGGGCATGTGGACTCTGGACTGTTATGGGGTGGGGAAGAGAGATGCTGACCAGCCTGCAGCAGCTTCCTAGAGCTGCCTATGTGGCCCACAGGCCCAAATAATTGCCTGTCCCTGCCTTAAAACAAGCTCCCTCTCCTCCCTTTAGTACTTCCCATTCTGAAACAGGGACAGGCTGGGAGAAAGAAGAGTTGTTGCTAGGGAAAACCAGTTGAAGACTCACAACAGCTAGACTTCCCTCCCACTGGAATCAACAGGGAACTTCTGTTTCGTTCAGAGGACCACTGTAACTCAGAACACTTCCTGCAAAGCATTCTGAGTTACAGCAGGAAGCTGCACTTCTGTGTGTCCTTTACTTCAGGGAAGAAAGCACCATAAGCAAATACTCCCTATCTCTTCATGAGGACAAGGCTGGAGAACTATAAAATATTTAGGATGTCACACCTTCCCAGACCATTCACTCTGATGTAGGTGAACTAAGCAACAGTGCACCCCACAGAACAAGAGAGAAAAAGCCCAGCTGTTGATGTACTCCAAGGCCTGATGAACAGGGGTAAATAATGGGATATGTATACCATCAGTTGCCCCAACAACACTGGAGAATCCATTCATGACATCTCAGGGATTAGCAAAATGAAGGAAAACCAAGGTGAGCACTTTCTTGATGACAGTGCATACATCTTGCATGGCTTGGTGGTAACTGATTTGCCCACACCAACTAAGCAGTCATGAACTAGTGGCAGTCAAGGCTGCCACCTTCCAAACGGTTGCTGCTACCCACTTCTTCAGTGCATGTTGGTGATCTGCAACTCTGGAGTCAACCCACTGCAGATTGAGTAGAAGCTTTTTTTAAATAATTTTGTAATTCTTATGCCACTGCTCATCATCCCAGGTCTGCAGTAATATCCTCTCACAGCAATACAAGTTTGACAACCTTGAGCAGTATGGCAGGTAATACTCTCAATTTGGACCTGAAGCAAGCTGTCTGCCTTAGCACCATATATGTACTCCTCCACAGGTTTTCAGTCATGTGTCTATAAGGCAAATGTGCGTCTTCTCAGAGACTCTATCAACACATTTTGCTGCTACAGAAAACCACCAAGCTCAGTGCAACCAATATGTGAACCAAAGAGGTTTGCTACCTAAAAAGTCTGCACAGTGAAGCACAGAGAATTGACAGGACCATATGGTAGAAAACAGGTAGTGCCTGTAGAAGATTTCTCTGACTGTCATCCATGATATTTTTTAAATTTTGTCTTAATGCTAAATCTCACAACTGGCATGATCTACTGCCTGGCTTGAAACCAGCAAAAGTAAAGGCCTTGGATTATGTCAAGATGCCACAAGTTATGTCGAGATGCCAAATGGCAAGGCACTGCAACAGTACCTTTGGTCATGTGGTCATATGTCCATTTCAAATACAGCATAAAAATTTACCCTTGCATAACATCTGGTGTATGTGCAATGTATCTAGGCTCTCATTACGTAGCTCATGTTAACATACAATCCCTCAGGTACAAAAAGTTACATGAAAATCAACAAAGCATGAATGACAAAACAAACTTTTGACAGAACTATCAAAAAACCTTGTTGGAGCACCATATCTCTTTTTTTGTTTTGCTTTGATCATCATTTCCACAGTAAATGTTTCAGCCATATCAGGGTGCATTCCCAATTTCATACTTGGGTGCAGGGTAAAACAAAAAACTTAATTCCTTTTCAGAGAAGGGTTTACTTTCTAGAAAAAACAAAATTTATATTATGCTGTTGGGATTATATGAGTACTACAGAGAGTACGCTATTATTGCTTAGCATTGAAAAAATCCCAGCACTCGCCTTCAATGGGTTATATAATCATAATTTAAATTGGCTACAATCCCTATCAGGATTTAATAGGAAGAGAGAAAAAAATACTGGTTTTCTCCCAGCCAATTTCTTGCAGAGCCAAAGTAATATGCTTGTACTAAATTACAGAGAAAACAAGATGCTGACTGAAATTATTTTTAAGTAAACAGTCCCCCCCCACCCCCCAAGACATTTGATAATATATGGAAATATTTTCCAAATAAAAAAGTAATGAGGAAACACTATTTTATTTTGCTTTGTTAATTAAAAACCATGTAACACAATAACCCTTACCTGCGCAATCCCGAATCCATCTGAGCCTCATCGATGAGTTCTGACTCACTCTGTGCAATCCTCATTGCAAGTTCTCGGTCACGACGCTCCTGTTCAAGAACTGCCTGTTTCTGGGTTTCTTCCTCACGCTGTCTGGCTAGTTGTGCCTCAATTTCAACCTGCATATAAAGAAAAGTGCTCTTAAAATGCTTCATAGCTTTCTTAAATTCACTTTTGTGGTATTATCGCAAATCTAATAACTTTTTGTAAAATTTCTCTCTTGGAAAGAATAATACAGAATTTACTGTATTAAGAGCATTACAGTGTAGGCAAAATTCACTTATAGCTTAAATTGTAATGTCACCTGTGATTTGCCAAACATTGTTTTTATTCAATCAAATACACAAAACCTCTGGATGGTCCATTTTAGACAGGTATTAGTAAGACCTTCAGAATTACTTAAGGAGTCCATCCTGCCTTCCACTGGAGTTAATGGCAAAAGTAACGATTTAAATGGTGCAAGGGTAGGATTTCATTGTATTCCTCTGCAGCAATTCATTGTTGGAACAGGGAGCCTGAGAAGCAGAGCCTGCGTCCACACCAAAAGCCATCTCGGCATTCTACCCAAGCCTATAAAAGTTCAAAATTTCAACTTCCATCAGTTACTTGCCAGCTATCCAAAAACTGGCACAGACTATACACGAACAGCACTGGAGGATGGTCAGCACAGATGTGTACATACAGTG